TGTACTTATGGATGTGAAATGTTGCCGATGCCGTGAGTGCATCGGTGTTAAATTGACATGAGCTGTGTGATAATGCTACCTATGATTGTATTTGTTTAATGTATTGGAAATGTACTTGAGGTGAGACTCTATGTTGACTGTGTATTTTTGGGCAGTGTAGAGTACTCACCCTTACATTTATTTTTCAGGTAATCAAGACGATCAACATCGGACTCAGTGAAGGGGTGGATGGAACTGCTATAAGACTTAAGATATTATTTCAAAAACTGTTATATTTAAATAAGTCTTGTAGCAATTGTTTGATGTAATTTGTAACTCCCTTTTCTTTATTTGAAACGGTTGATGAAACTTGAATTGAAAATGCAAATTTTATTATTTCAAAAATTTGCGAAATTCCTTATTTATTGAAATTAAATTTAAGGTATTACACCCGCGCTCACTGTTGGTGTCACTACTACTCTTTCTTCTCCAAAGTATTCCTACTGCCCTCATCTTCCACACCCCAGTGTATCGTTGTAATCATTCATAGTTTTTCAACATATTCAAACACAACCATCATGTCATTCACACATATTTTTAATCATTTCACATTATTCATCATCAACTAATGGCATGTCCGATATTTCATCCATATTGTAATTTATCACACAATTCTCATCACAGTCAAATTCATCTCATCACACACATCCCCAATAATTACCATATCAAATTCATACAAAATTTCCTTTACCACCCTATTGCAAATAAAGTCATTTCATCATTCAATATCAGCCAACGTCTAATATATCATGCTCAACACAAAATGTCCATCAAAACACACATGTTCTTACATTCTATCTCAATCATATTCTAACACACAACAATATAACGAATTTTAATGCACAGAGATAGGGTAAAGTCCCCCTTACCTTGGATTGAAGACCCAATACGAAATAACGGTAGAAAACCTTCCCCCACACAGTGCTTCGTCCTAAATACATGGAAGAATTCCATGAGAAACTAAAGAGAACCGAGAAATGATGGAAAAACGTAAACCCTAGCTCTTTAAACTTACCTCTAAATATTTCAAACGCGATTCCAATCTTCAATCTAGCGCACAAATGGTTTTGGAAGCAATTTAATCAGTGAAAATGGGTTGATGATCGAGAGAATCGAAGAAAGGATGAGAGGAAAAGTGGGAAATGAATTTTTTGAACCCTAAACCCCTCAAATACCCTAGGAATCGCGATATTCTCGCTACAACAGGACCCCTTCTCCCTACAAGAAAAATCTTAGACCAAATTGCACTCTAATTTCTGCATAATCTTACTACAACGAGACTCTCTCGCTACAGCAAGATTGCACCCAGAAAATGCACTTCCTCTGTTGCCCTCTTGCTGCAATGAAACTACTCTCTCTACAGCAAGAACACCACAAATGCACACCTTTTTCCCAGGATCTTCTCGCTACAGCGAGAGTGTCCTTGCAACACATGCTTAGCCTACATTTTCAATCAATTCTAGTCCAATCACAAGTCCACACTCAGATTTCAACCATAATATACAAATATATACACATCTATATTTATTTATACACATATTCACATCACCACACAAGTCAAACGCACATTCAATAGTAATTCACGTATTTATATTAATAAACAAAATACTATTACAAAACTCGGGGTGTTACAAAATTTATTTTATTTGAGTCATATTAAAGGTGTCAAATGGGTATGTATTAACTAGTTTAACCTTAACTCATGTGAGTTAGAGCTAAAATGTCTATCATATCAAAATTTCATTAGGCTAAAAAGTCTATAGAATTAAGTAAACTAGAACTAACTCAGACACCAATTACCTTTAAAAAAAATATATCATAATCCATTAAAAATATTTATTTTCTATAATATATTTTTTACTATAAACTTATAAATAAATAAAATTATTTAAAAATATATGAAGAATAATTAAATTTATATAATATTAAATATTTAAAACGAATTATAGTTATTAAATAATATTAAATAAAATATAATAATTTATTATCAAATTAAGTTATATATTTATCTAATTTTTGTTTGTATTATTGATAATTATTAAATTATAGTAACATCTTTTATTTACATAATTTTATAAATAAATTTTAAAATATTATTTTATAATTTTATTTGAGTATTAACTATAAAATTTTTATGTTTTAATATTGTTATATTATTATATTTTATGAATTTATTTTATAAAATTATTTTAAAAAAGTACATGTTCAATAAATATTTTTAAAGTCACAATAGAGATACAAAACTCACAATGAAAAATAAAGTTAGCTAAATTTGTTAAGTCATGTATTATCAAAATATTGAAAATAATTTATTTTAAAAATTTAATGTATTAAAAAAATTAATACAATAACATCATCATAGAAATAGTAAACTTGTAATACTTAATATTACAAAATTCATAGATACAGAAAAGTAACTTGTGAACTTAGTAAAAATTAATGAATATTTATAAATTTTTATTTTAACTCATCTTAATATGATAGAGTTTATTTTTAAGGTGAAATAACTTGATTTGATAGAATCCATAAATTTTTTATTTTTAAAAAAATATTTTTAATTAATTTTAAATAAAATAATTTAATAAAAATGATAAACAAATGTGTCTTTTACTAAAAATATATAATATTCATTAATTACTCTATAAAAATTTGTTTATTTATTTATTTTTATAAAATTATTTTAGAAATATCGTATGTACAGTAAATATTTTTAAAATGACAATACACACACAAAATTGACAATGAAAAAGCTTAGTTAAATTTGTTAAGTCATTTGATATGAAAATGCTCAAAATTATTTATTTAAATAAAATTTAATATGTTAAAAAATTAAATGCAACATTATCATTATTAAAATCATAAACATATGATATTTAATATTGCTAAATTTATAAATGCAGAAAATAAATTTATAAACTTAAAAAAATTAATAAATATTCATAAATTTAAATTTTGATTGATCTTAATTTAATAGAATTGATAAAAAAAATTTAAAAACATATTTTTTATATTTAAAATATAAATTTTTATTAATTTTAAATAAATAATTTAATAAAAATAATAAACAAATACATATATTTTTTTTACTAAAAAATAGTATAATATTTATTAATTATTCTCTAAAAAATAATGAGCTAACCCTAGTTAATTATATATATATATATAAAAGGCTTAGAAGCAAAATAAGCTCATTATATATAGAACTTAAAACAAATTGAAATTGTGGAGTGAATTATGAGCCTAAAGCCACGTTAACATCTCTAGGTCGTAACACGAAGAAAAGTGTCTTTGAACTTAGAAAGCATGAGGAATAAAATGTAGTTGTCTTTTTTAACATATCTCTATCCTTAAAAAATAAATAAAATATAATAAATTTCATAGCATAACAGACAAAATGTGTGTTAAACCCCGTACACATAAAAGTGTGACATAAAGAGAAAAATAACAAATTAACTCCCTCCTGAAAAATGTCTTATTTTAATTTATGAAGGTACGTGACTTCTATGCGTTGTGTTGTTATGTTGCATCACAGTGGAGCCTGTGTTTAAAATGTTTCAACATGCTCATGGATCGGAATCAAAGTTATCGTTTATGTTTTGAAATGAAACCAACCTCAAGGCTCAAACACTTGATGAAGAAAATAAAAGAACATTAACAAAATGGGGTTTCTAGATCCTTGTGTGATTGTCCTGAATTGCACTTTTAAATTCTGGTGCCTAGCTCACCCCATGTGACATTGATGGTTCCCCAATTTGTACCCACAGAAATTCACCGCTGACTAAATATCTTCTGCAAGCCCCACATGCTTGACTGCAATATGTGTGTAACTTTTGGGTTCATATCTTAAACTAAAATTTCACATGAGCAACTTCATACTAGGACCATGCTATACAGCACCAATGGATCAGTGATCACCACCCCACGAAGCATCATGTGCAGACAAATTTCGTTTCTTAATCATATTTTATGTTCTAGTTCCATGTGCCCCCCAAAATATGGGGCACTTTCGTTATTATAAAGTATTGAATAAGATGTTCTGTTTGTATGTATTTATCTATCTCACTACCAAGGAAACTTTATTTTTAATAATATCTTATCCGTTTTTTCTCTCATTGCATAACATTTTGCTGATTGTTTACATAAATTTCCATGACAGCTTATAATTGCTTTCAATGATTGAGCATCCAATGTTTTCTAATGTTGTGCCACATTGTGGCACGGTATTCACGATATGTAGATTCCTATGTCATGAAATTTGAAACTTAAAAGCCATGTTGATACATGGGCATGGCTCAAAAGATAAGTACATGATGACATTGTAATTGAGATCATTAGGGGCCTCTTTATACCTCCGTTTTAAACAGCGTTAGCACTGAACAGAATTTTTTTATATACAAACATGTAAAGTAAATTTAATTTTTTAAACAAACAAGCTTTAATTCTATGTACATTCAGTCCCACGTTATAAGATATAGCTCATGCGTTGACATGAAAAATGAACGACAATTCAAACACGGATTAAGTAATCCTGTTTCATCAAAACCAAAACGATTGAGTCGACCTATTGACAATTTGACTTTTTACTGATAAATTACTTGTTTCATTCAATTATTTTTACCATATTGTATGTAGCTTTTATTTTAAGCATTATTAAGAGGATTATTGCTCATCTTGGCTTCAAAATTTGAGCATTTGGCATCAAATAATAGTACTACCTCAAGTTAAGATCTTCATTTGAAACTACTATATTAAGTAAGTCTCCAATTAGTGGCCCATATAAGCTGGGGTCCAAACATATAAGTGACACAAAAATGTATGGCCAAGAACAGTGCCGCAGAGGCTGAACAAAAACACATTGTTTCTTAATTAAATTTTAAGACCCTTTATCTTAATATGTGCCACTTGATCATGTTATATATAATAAGGCCCATGTTACTACGAATCACAGGCCAACTATTCCCCGTTCACCGCCTAGTTGTCTCACCATCTTCCTTAGATTCACTGCAATTTTCTTTGTCTTCATCTCACCAAGGCCTCATAGACTAGACAGGAATCTTTTGCATCCAGACATCACAGATAGATCTGCAGTGCTGTTCATTTGACTAATACAGTCACCTCACACACCCACTAACACAAAATATATATATATATATATATATATATATATATTAATTATATTATATAAAGTGGGAACGAAGGATCCACTATAGGCATGCAGGTATGCTTTGTTATGTGATGATAATTTATATATATATTGGAATCTGCACTGCAGCATGCATTATTCACATCAAAGCTAATAGGTAATAACTCTATTGGTGTGTACTAGCAGATTCTTCAATGGCTCTTCAAAGGGGCACATGAACAAGAAAGAAAGAGAAGCACCAACAATCTTCCTCCCAAAAGGGAAGATATCAGTGGTAAGAATAAGATTGACTCTTGCAAGTTCCTTAACTAATGCTTGTTTCTTATTAGTCATATTCTAGAAATGAACTAAAACTTACTTTTTTTATTTTGATATACAAACATTTTAATGCTAATATTTGTTATTTATTTTGGTGATTTTTTCAGAACAAAATGATGAAGGGAAAGAGATAAATCTACTCAAGCGTGATAGATCAAATAAAAGAACAAGGAGAAACAAATGGAGCAAGCTTGGGTGCAAGAACTTAAAGATATTCACTTTTCTATATAGAAAAGACATTATTCCAAAAGCTTTCTTTTACAGCACCCTCAACTTGAAGAGAGTGAGAAGCTTCAATAGAAGGGAATTTTTCTACTTCATGAAGATGAAGAGAGAAGAATCATCCCGAGAATTAGGAATTGTTAACAAGGCAGATTCAGCTGCTCATGCTGGAAACAAGGTTTTGCCCATAACTGAGGCACCATTGCCATCCTCAGCTGAAAGAAATGACCAATGTGATACCACAGAAACTAAAGACCAAACCAAGGTGGATAAAAAAAAGCCAATGTCCAGAATGAAAGAGCTACTTAGATGGGCTGCTTCTGCGAAGACAGAGAAAGGAGGAAAATTCAATGGAAGAAAGGTAATCTTCAATGATCCTTGATTATTTTCTACCCTGTATGCATGAGATACATGGCACAGAATACCATGTGTAGTGAGATAATTCATTTACGGCTTAAATGGAGTTTTTTAAAGATCTGTATAATAAAGAAATAAATAAATAATAATTTTTTATTAAAAATTATAGGATTTAATAATATTGCTATATTAGATTTGGGTCTTCTCAGACTCACATAAAAAAAATCTAAAATACATTTTTAATATCCACATTTTTACAATTTTTTAAATCTCTCTAAACTTATTTGTATGATATTAATCTTTGATTTTTTTTTTCAAAGTTAGTCCTTTTGTTCCTCAACGAGTACTAAAGGAGGATATGACTGACTGATCAGAAGTTGATATGTGTCAATTATTTGTGTGACCACGTTAATAAAAGGAATCAAAACGCCTAAGTTGCAAAATAGATAATGACCAAAACTATAACAAAAACAAAAACTTTAATAAAATATATAAGAACTAAAAATATATTTAAATTTTAGTTAATCTATAGATTATTATTTATAATATTGTTATGTGTCACTATTATAGCCAAATTATGTGGTCATATTCCCTCGTGTCAGTGACAATTACAAATCATCATAAGCAGATATTAGTCTTGAAATTTTTTGATTTAGAGACATCTGACATTAGGACAAAAAGAAATTAAGTAGTCATAATAATCAAACAGCCAACCTACAATAATTAGCGAAAAGGAATTGAAAGAAGGAAATAAGCCACCCCTTTAGTTCACAAAACAATACTGAAAAATCTAGTTTAAGATGTTTGGTAAAACTCATTCTTAATCTTAGTAGTTCCTCAGTTGAATTGATGGTGGAATTGTTATCAGGTTTTAATGTTTCGAAGACGTGGAACTCTGAAAGCAGTTCCAGATGATGATCAAGTTTGCAGTGACTCACCCAAGATCAGTTTCAGATGGGATGTGGAAAGCTGCTCCACCACTTCCTCTGCCTACTCAGCTATCTCAATAGCTTCCTCAGCCAAAAATGGACAAAGCAAAATTGCAACTTCCACTATATCCATCCCTCCTGAAGAAACTGGCCATAATATCACTTGTAGAAAAGGAAATTGGATCACAACAGACTCTGAATGTATGTCATCTTTATATTTTATTTTGTTCATTTTTATTCTAAGATCATAAACGGCATTAAAAAACTTTGACTAATATTTTCTTCACCCTTTTCTTTTATTTGCAGTTGTGGTGCTGGAACTATGAAAAAATAAGCTAAGTGCATGTTTGGAAACACATTGGAAAAAAACTATAAATGTGAATTTATTGCAGATGTTACAACTTGTAACGTTAAAGGAAGCGTGAATCACAATCATTCAAACCACAATCCAAACATTATGAAGCAAATATTCCATGCGTGGTGAAGTGTTAGCGGGCAATCTATGTCACAAGTTAATGCTCTAATTATGTGTCATGTCCATGGCTAAGTTCTGTCAGATATTTCGTGAAGATTTTATGTAACTTAACTAAAGATAGAGAGATTGAGAGGCAAGAGAAAGAGACGCAATGTTAGTAATTAATGATCTGAATGTACTAGATGTTGATTCAAACAGATCACATTCCATGTGCATGACATGAGAATGTTCGGCATCTTCATTATTAGGGATATAAATTAAGTATGGTCTTTCCAATCAATAGACACTGATTAAGAAATTAATATTTATAGAATTTTAATATAAAATTACATTATAAAACATGATAAAGGTATATTGATAATACTTTTTGATTAATCAACACTCTTAAGACACTAATTTATTTATCATTAAGTATTTAATTTGTTAACTGATCAAATTAATGTAAATGGGTTTATAAGTGAGTGGGGCCACTTATTCCTGCAAAACTCCAATAATCGGCAGTGATGATTATCGGAAATGAAAGCTTAATTTCATGTATATGATAATAGTATAGAAGTCATGTGTAACAAACATTAATATTTTTTTAATTATAAATATAACAAACATTAATATTATGAAATGCATGAGCTTGGAAGTTGTTTTATCATTTAGACGTTTGGGATTGGAACTTGACTAGTTCAAGTAATTGGGCAAGGAACAAGTAGCGTGAATTTAGTTACAAAGAAATTAGTTAGATAAATATTTAGAGAATGGACCACATATTCAATAATATTTCAAGACAAACATATGAAGAGTTTCATACAAAACAGAACGTGCGTATGTGTTGCACCTCATCACTTTACTACCTCCCCAAAATAATAATAATTAAAAAACAAAGAACATGAATGTCACAAATTATATTTATTGTGTCACAACACACTTAGCTTTTGGATTTTATTCTTTTACATAACCATTAGTATTGGTCACATGTAATATTCATCGTCTAGCTCATTAGGTGATTTTAAGGTATTGGATAATGAGACTTCTGCACTTCTCTTATGAGTGGTGTTGGAGGGTATTCAACGTTTCTAGAGAAGTCTATACATGCTATACATTACGTGAAATTATAAAAGAAAAATGATTAGGATGTTAAGAGCTTCAACTAATTAATGAAGTATAATATTTTGAAAACATTAAAGTCTTGAGTGAATACATGTGTTAGAATGATCAAAAGTCGTGAGGATTATGTGAAGAGTCACATAAAACTAGAAGATGTTAGAAACTTTTAGAAGTTGTGTGCAACTTTGTCGTGAAACCTTCTAAAAGGTAGATTGTAATATCGTAACAAATTGTTGCTATAATAAATTGACAAACAATTTGTTATTTAAATTCAAGATGCTATATAGAATATACTGGAGTTGTTATAGCAGTTGTTATTTTAGATTTGTTATTTTTTAACTTATCTGCTAGAGTTGTTAAATTTTCTAGCAACAACTTCATGTATTTATACAACACATTATTGAGAAATATATCATCAGAGAAAACCATTTTACATGGTATCAGAGCTAGGCCGAAAACCTTGAGACCTGTACATGGAAACCCCAACAAATGGCGGTGAGAGTGCTGCGACATCTTCAGCAATTGAAGATGCTCAAAGAAAGAAAACTTCCCCTTATGATCTCAACTCCAGTGACAATCCTGGAAACATAATTGCTCAGGTACAATTGAAAGGTGATAACTATGATGAATGAGCTAGAGCTATGAAGAGGTCATTGAGAGCTAGAAGAAAGTGGAGTTTCATTGACGGAACCATAGCAGAACCCAAAGAAAGATCCCCAAATTTTGAAGATTGGTGCACTGTCCAAGCCATGTTGGTTTCATGGATCTTGAATACAGTAGAACCAAAACTGAGAACTTCCATATCATACTTGGAAACAGCCAAGGAGGTGTGGGATGACATTAAAGAAAGATTTTCTATTGTGAATGGACCCCGAATTAACCAGTTGAAATTAGAACTAGCACAATGTAAACAAGGAGGGATGTCCATAATAGCCTATTATGGAAAACTGAAAGCATTGTGGGATGATCTCGCAACTCATGAACCAGTTATCATCTGCACCTGCAGTGGGTGCACCTGTGGAGTTGCCGTGAAACTTGAGAAATGCAAGGAAGAAGAAAGATGTCACACTTTTTTAATGGGTCTCGACGACGCAACATATGGACCGATTCGTTCCAATTTGCTTGCATCTAATCCATTGCCTTCATTGAATAAAATGTATGCCATTCTTATTTAGGAAGAACGTGTGCGCAACATCACTCAGGAAAGAGATGTACGACCCGACGCGATGGCTCTCACCGTTCAAGCAAATGTAAAGGCGAGGGGTCGTGACAACAGCAAGGTGACTTGCACTCACTGTAGCCGAAGTGGTCATGAGGCAGCATGTTACTTTCTGCTCATTGGATACCTAGAATGGTGGGGGGATCGTCCCCGCAATGGAGACCGCACCGCTGCGCGCCGACTCCCACAAAATGGCAGCGATGGAACTGGCTCTCGTGCTCTTAAAGGCCCTATCTGTGCTAACTTAGCTGAGAATACAGGGTCTAATCTTGGTAATAATAATGTGGAACCTGGAGGTTTGAGCAACGAACAGTGGAAAACTTTGATAGAAATGCTCAATTCATCCAAAGTCTCTCCAAATGAAAGCATGACTGGTAAGTCTAAAATTGATGCATGGATTCTTGATAGTGGGGCCTCAAATCACATGACAGGTAACTTACATCATTTGCACAATGTGAGAGACGTCTCTGGATGTCCTGTTGGACTCCCTAATGGGCAATGTGCTCGCTCTACTAAGGAAGGAACAATAAAGTTTACTGAAAATTTACACCTTCAGCATGTCCTTTATGTCCCTCAATTAAATTGCAATTTGATTTCTATTTCTCAATTATCCGATGAGTTAAATTGCAATGTATTCTTCATTGGAAACATATGTGCCATACAGGACCGAACCTCGAAGATGCTGATTGGAGTGGGTGAACGACGGGATGGACTCTATTTCTTTCAAGCAACCCCTAAGAAGACAGTATGTAAGGTTGAAGGAATGCATGAACTAAAAGTGTGGCACATGAGGTTGGGACATCCTTCATGGAAAACTACTCAATTTATTTCAAAGGACAGCAGTGTTAGCAATTTTAATAAAGTTTGTGATACCTGTCAAAGGGCAAAGCAAACTAGAGACACATTTCCCTTAAGTATTAATCAAGCTTCTAATATATTTGATTTGATTCATTGCGATTTATGGGGTTCGTATAGAACTCGCTCATCTTGTGGCGCTTCTTATTTTCTGACTATTGTAATGATTGTTCGCGTGCAGTGTGGATATTTTTGTTAACTGATAAGAAACAAGTCACTAAAACATTGACAAATTTTTTTTCTATGGTTGAAAGGCAATTTGAAAAACGGGTTAAAACTGTGCGCAGTGACAACGGAACAGAATTTATCTGTATGAAAAATTATTTTTTGGACCATGGAATCATTTTTCAAACTTCATGTACAGGCACACCTCAACAAAATGGACGAGTCGGACAGAAACATCGTCACATTCTAAATGTTGCACGTGCCTTACGATTCCAAGGAAATTTGCCAATTAAATTTTGGGGCGAGTGTGTTTTAACAGCCGGTTATTTGATCAATCGAACTCCAACCACAATACTAAAAGGCAAGACCCCATATGAAGTGTTAAATGGACAAGAGCCTTCCTATACACACCTACGTGTTCTTGGCTTTCTCTGTTTTGCTCACAATCATAATACTCGTGGTGACAAATTTACAAGTCGTAGTAGGCGATGTGTACTTATGGGATATCCCTATGGGCAGAAGGGTTGGAGACTTTATGATTTAGAAACTCATGAGTTCTTTGTATCAAGAGATGTTCAGTTTTTTGAAAATCAATTCCCCTTCACAAATTCAGAAAATGACCTTAGTTCATCTCTTCTCATACCTACTAAGCCCATGGTCTTCGATGATGCAAAGGACTTGTGAGTTAGGGGAGGCACAAGTCATTCTATAATGGACGTTCCTGTTGCTGCGTCAACATCTCCTGCAGCACACATCAGGGACGTTGTTGTCTCTTCTTCTGCTGCTACTATGTCTGAACCTGCAGCTTCCTCCACTACTGTCGCTGAGTTCTCTCCTGTTGTTGCACGCACTGATTATTCTGCCCAGGACCTAGAGGCACTATAAACTCTAAACTCCTCTTATGATACACCTATTTCTTCACTTCTTGGACGCAGACATCACGTCAAACAAAAATTCACTAGATTACAGGGGTTCGTCACTAATACTACACAAATATTAAGTCCATTCCCGTTCTCATCAGCTCCATCATCGTCTTCAGGTACTCCATATCCTATTGCTCACTATGTTAATTGTGACTGATTTTCTGTGCCCCATAGGCAATTCCTTGCAGCACTTACAACAGAGAGAGAACCTTTGTATTTTCATGAGGCAGTACAAGATCCTCGGTGGCGACAGGCTATGCAAGATGAGATTGATGCTCTCGAACGAAACGATACCTGGAGCATACAACAATTGCCTCCTGGTAAGAAAGCTCTTGGATGCAAATGGGTGTATCGTATCAAATATAATTCTGGTGGTACCATTGAGCGTTTTAAAGCTCGCTTAGTCGTTCTTGAAAATCATCAGAAGGAAGACATAAATTCCATAGAGACCTTTGCCCCAGTTGCCAAAATGGTAACTGTACGTACGCTTCTTGCTATAGCAGCAGCCAAGTCTTGGGAACTCCATCAAATGGATGTACATAATGCGTTTCTCCACGGGGATCTCCATGATGAGGTGTTCATCCGCATGCCTCTTGGTTTTACCGTTTCTTCACCTCACATGGTGTGCAAATTACGCAAATCTTTATATGGCTTGAAGCAGGCTCTGCGTTGCTGGTTCACTAAGCTGTCTCATGCTCTTGTTTATGTTGATGATCTCATTATTGCGTGAAATGACTCTTCCGCCATCCAAAGATTTAAAACATATCTTAGTGAATGCTTCCACATGAAAGATCTTGGCACTTTGAAGTATTTTCTAGGCATTGAGGTTGCTCGTAGTCCTACGGGAATCTTCCTTTGTCAGCGCAAATATGCGCTTAATATTATCTCTGAGGCTGGTCTTCTTGATGCCAAACCAGCTGGCACTCCATTAGAGCAAAATCACCATTTGTCCTCAGACTCTGGCCCACTCCTTGATAACCCAGAGCGTTATCGTCGCTTGGTTGGGCGCCTGATCTATCATTGCTTCACCTGTCCTGAGCTGTGTTTTATTGTGCACACTTTATCTCAGTTTATGCAGCAACCTCTTATTGTGCACTGAGACACTGCTCTCTGGGTGGTTCACTTTCTCAAAGGCAATCCAGGCCAAGGTATATTACTTTCAAGCAGCTGTGATCTCCAGCTTCACGGGTGGTACAATTCTGACTGGGCTAGTTGTCCTCTCACCCATCGCTCCGTGACTGGTTGGCTTGTCCAACTGGGCCAATCTCCTGCTGCTTGGAAAACCAAGAAACAACATACTGTCTCGCGCTCTTTAGCTGAAGCTGAATATCGCTCCATGGCCACAGCTACTTGTGAGCTCAAATGGTTAAAAGGGATTCTTTCTGATCTTGGCATTGCTCACCCCAAACCTATGGTCCTTCACTGTGATAGTCAAGCGGCGTTGCACATCGCCAAAAATCCAGTGTTTCATCAACGCACTAAACATATTGAAGTTGACTGTCATTTTGTCCGCAATGAGGTTCTACAATAGAATATCCTTCCCACTTATGTCTCTACAACAGTACAGCTCGCAGACATCTTCACCAAGGCGTTGGGCAAACCTCAGTTCGAGTTCTTGATAAGCAAGTTAGGTATTCTGAATCTTCATGCTCCTACTTGAGGGGGGTAATATCGTAACAAATTGTTGTTATAACAAATTGACAAACAATTTGTTATTTAAATTCAAGCTGCTATATAGAATATATAGGAGTTGTTATAGGAGTTGTTATTTTAGATTTATGATTTTTTAACGTATCTGCTAGAGTTGTTAAATTTTCCAGCAACAACTTCATGTATTTATACAACACATTATTGAGAAATATATCATCAGAGAAAACCATTTTATAGATTATCCTCCTATTCTGTATCATTTTTAAAAGTGGATTACATATTTAAATATTTTAGCCTGATCTATTTAAAGATGGGCTTGTAGGCTTGCTTGCTAAAGACTGAAATGATTTATTTAATGCTTTTATTAGAAACAATAATATTTCCCAATGAATTTTATTATACGATCAACATAGTGGAAAGTTTGACACCATAATTAGTAATCATATGCTTTATCTCTTGGTCAACATTTTGGGGGTTACATTAATTGTGCATGTAACATCCTATGCTTTGTGTCATGCCTGTAGTATATTAATAAGAAAAATCTGTAGTACTTTGTGAGCAGAAAGAAACTGTGTATGTACAGTAACCCCTAATGTCAATAAGTGACATAACGCTGATGTTATCAGTGACATCATCGCTTACATCATCGCTGACCTCACGCTTATGTCATTGGTGATCTCACGCTGACATCATCGCTTGCATCATGCTGACATCATCGCTTACATCATGCTGACATCATTGCTTACATCACGATTGACGCTGACATCATCGCTTGCATCATGCTGACATCATCGCTTACATCACATTGACGCTGACATCTTCAAAAAAAATTTCTATAAATAGGGGGGCTTCACATGAAATTTTCATTCCCACCCAAGGTTCTCGAAGGTTCTAAGGTCATATCTCGCCATTTTCTCCTATACTAAACCTCCTAAACTTAGATTTCTCTTCAGATCTGTGATTCTACGTTCGTTCTAAAGGATTTCAAGAAAACCTCCGTTCTAGAGTTAAATCTTCGGTTAAATCCTTGTAAAAGCTCTGTTTTGAGGTAAGGGGGGCTCTACTTTATCAATTTGTTATGTTTATTACTTGTATTCTCATAGATCTTGTCATGTATGTGATTATATGGGAAATAATCCCTATTTTATGAGAAATAATCGGTGAAAAGTGAGAATAATTAGTTGTTTATGTGATTTTATGATGAGTACATGGTGAAATTGGGATATTATGTTCAAATAGGGCATGATAAGGTATATTGAGGATGGTTGATATGATTTTATAATTTTGTGATATAAAATATACGAAGAGATGGATGTTTCATGTTTGAATATATTGTGTTTTATGTAAAAATGATGTGTATCGTGAATATGCCATGGTTTGATGTATACGATGAAAAGTATGTGGAAATATAATGAAAAATATGTGTAAACATGATAAATGACATATGTGAACATGTGAATATGCTCAAAAGAGTATGAGATGGAAAAAAATATGATATAAATAGTTACAGAGATACACTGGGGAAGTGGAAGATGGAGACGATATGGGATATCTTGGGGAAATGCAGGGTGGTGAGTGACATTCGGGATTGTGCACGGAATATTGTGTTCGAATGCACCACATGGCCACACACTCATTTCTCGACTTGACTCCTGACCATTACCTTTGCTAAGGGGCCGTCTATTGCATGCGTTGTATCCGTATTGCATTGGGCCATCCGGCGACTATTTACATGGATGTGTAAGACCTCGGGATAGAGGCATCGGATAACTGTGGCCACAGGGCGCGGTAAGCGCAGATAAAAGTAAAAGAAATTGTGAATCTGTAATACACGTTGAGATGAGAATATGCTTTATATGACCCTGTGATATGTAATGTCATGATGTTTTCTTTAATCGTGATAAGATGTGTTTTGTGAAGAATGTATGTGTTATGTATGAGTGGTAGGGTAGAGACTCACCCTTACACAATATTTTTCAAGAAACCAGGACGAATAGTACTAGGCTCACAGTGCATGGATGGATAAGAACTGCTATAGGACTTAGTTATTTTGAGTTATGTAATGAATATTTTCAGTTCTATAGCATTCTTCTGAAACAGTTGTAAAACTACTCTTCTTTTTATTGCTGATGAAAATTCTAGAATCTTTGTTTTTCTAAAGTACTTATAAATTAATAAAATTTTAATCTATGAACTTTATATCATTTCCATGTCTATTTCTATTTAGAGAGTTTTTGAAAGAAAAAAAAAATTTACTCTACTGTTTAACTTTTTATGAAAATTTATTATATATTGAGAAAAGAAATATAAGGCGTTACAATTTTGGTATTAGAGCAGTTCATCCAGACCAGACTAGGGTATGGGACTAACATGTCTGTGTTGTGTAATAGATATACTAGAATATGAAATGATTATTTGCTAATATGACTTGTTAGATGTGAATTACATGAACTAGATCTATCTATGATAGATTAATAAGTAATTTGAGTTTATTGCATGATTAGAGCTATGGCTGGTAGAGGTACACCTGCTGGTGCTACAAATGAACTCCTGGAGCGCATGACCCAAGTCTTAGAGACTTTGACACATAACCAGGAGGCTGAACCAGCCGAGTATAGAGGACTTTCTTCTTTTACTAGGCATAACCCTCCAAAATTTGAGGAAAAGTTTGATCCTGAGGGAGCTCAGAGGTGGATAGCAGACGTGGAGAAAATTTTCCATGCCATGGGATGTAGAGAGGAGCATAAAATAACTTATGCTACTTATATGCTGAGTGGAGAAGCTGAGAACTGATGGAGATTTGCTAGTCAAACTATACTGCAAGAAGATGATTATATTCCTTGGGAGACATTCAAGGCAACCTTCTTAGAAAATTATTTCCCTAGAAATTTAAAGAAACAGAAGGCTAGAGAGTTCCTTGAGTTGAAACAAGGAAACATGTGTGTAGGTGAATATGCTGCTAAATTTCATGAATTGATGAAATACTGGCCTCACTATCAACATAATGATGGAGAGGAAGATCTATGTGCTCAATTTGAACATGGGCTTAGGCCAGATATTCGAGCTGCTGTTAGTGTATTCCAGCTGACAGATTTACCCACTCTAGTGAGTAAATGCAGAATATTTGAAGCCAATACTAAGGGTAAGACAGTGGATACCAGAATCGGTGGTCCTGTGAGGCAAGACCGAAGGCCTCCAAGATTTTCTAGAGGACCTTACTCTAGTCCAAATCAGTCTCAAGTGAAGGGGACTGTATCTCAAGAAGATAGTAGTGGTGGTTCAGGTTCTTTCAGAAGGTCACTAAAATGTTTCAAGTGTGGTGGACCTCATATTAAAAAGAATTGTCCTCAACTTCCACCAACATGTGACATTTGTGGGAAAATGGGACACTCTGCTAGTGTCTGTTGGTCTGCTCCACAAAAGAGCGGAAGCATGAGTGTGGAACAAAGACCTGAATCTAGAGCAAGCACTGGAACAAAGCCAAATGTGAAAGGCAAAGTTTTTGCTATGAGTGGAGTCAAGGCTTCAAAATCAGAGGAGCTTATTAGAGGTAAATGTATCATAAAAGACTGACTTGTAGATGTGTTGTTTGATTCTAGTGCTACTCATTCCTTTATTTTTGTGGATTGTATGAGATGTCTAGAATTACCTGTATCTGAATTCTCTTGTGATGTTATTGTATCTACTCCTACGGGTAAGCCCGTAGCAACTTCTTCTGTGTGTTTAGGTTGTCCTGTGATGGTACATGGTAGGAGTTTTAGTATAGATTTGATTTGTTTACCTCTTTCCCAACTTGATGTAATTTTGGGAATGAATTGGTTGTCATCTAACCATGTTCTATTGGATTGTAAAGAGAAAGTCTTGATTTTTGGCACTAAAGTATCAGAAAGTGCTAAACTCTTAGGTCCAGATCCATTGGAAAATGTAATGAGTGCTAAGGCTTTCATGGTTCTATTTTCAATTAAGACTGAAAAGGAAATGAACCCTGAGTATATCCCAGTGGTTAGAGATTTTTTAGAAGTTTTTCCTGATGATGTAACTAAATTGCCACCGGAAAGAGAGATTGAGTTTACTATTGATCTCATTCTGGGAGCAAATCCTATTTCTGTTGCACCATATAGGATGTCACCAGTGGAGTTGGCTGAGGTAAAGAAACAGGTAGAAGAATTATTGCAGAAAAGGTTTATAAGGCCAAGTGTGTCACCTTGGGGAGCACCTGTTCTTTTGGTGAAAAAGAAAGATGGGAGCATGAGGATGTGTGTTGATTATAGACAATTGAATAAGGTAACAATAAAGAACAAGTATCCTATTCCTCGAATTGATGACTTGATGGATCAGTTACGAGGAGCTTCCATATTTTCAAAGATTGATTTGCGATCTGGTTATCATCAGATCAGAGTTAAGAGTGAGGATATTCCCAAGACAGCATTTAGAACCCGCTATGGCCACTATGAGTATCTAGTTATGCCATTTGGTGTGACTAATGCTCCTGCAGTATTCATAGACTACATGAATAGAATTTTTCATGAGTTTTTGGATAAATTTGTTGTAGTATTTATAGATGATATTCTAATTTATTCCAAGACTCATGAAGAACATGCAGAACACTTGAGAATTGTTTTGCAGATACTAAGAGAAAGACAGTTGTATGCAAAATTCTCTAAGTGTGAATTTTGGTTACCACAAATCCAATTTTTGGGACATGTGGTATCAAAAGATGGCATTATGGTGGATTCAGTAAAGGTGGAGGCAGTGGCTCAATGGCCAAGGCCTACTAATCCCACATAAATTCACAGTTTTCTAGGACTAGCTGGCTATTATAGGAAATTCATTGAAGGATTTTCTAAAATAGCTTTTCCTTTGACGAAGTTAACAAGAAAAGGAAAGGAGTTTGTGTGGAATAAAGAGTGTGAAGCTAGTTTCCAAAAACTGAAAGAAAAGTTAACATCTGCCCCTGTCTTAGTCTTGCCTAATCCAGAACAGAAATTTGATGTGTATTGTGATGCATCTGGGCAAGGGCTTGGTTGTGTCTTGATGCAGGATGGAAGGGTAGTTGCTTATGCTTCGAGGCAGTTGCGTCCTCATGAAGTTAATTATCCTACTCATGACCTAGAATTAGCCGCGGTGGTTTTTGCTCTTAAGATATGGAGACATTATCTATTTGGGACGAGATTTGAGGTATTTAGTGATCACAAGAGTTTGAAGTACTTGTTTGATCAAAAAGAGTTAAATATGAGGCAGAGAAGGTGGATGGAATTTTTGAAGGATTATGATTTTACATTGTCTTATCATCCTGGGAAGGCAAATGTGGTTGCTGATGCTTTAAGTAGGAAGTCCTTGCATATAGCAAGTATGATGGTAAAAGAATTAAAGTTGATTGAAAAGTTTCGAGATATGAATTTGGCAGTGGAGGTGCGACCTCAGAGTTTGTATCTTGGGACTTTAATAATCAACAATGATTTCTTGGTGAGGGTTCATGATGCCCAACAAGAAGATATGTTCTTGCAGGAAATGATGAGGCAGAAAGGTGAAGGAAAGGATTTGGAGTTCCATAGTGATGCAAATGGATTGATTAAATTCAAGAACCGTGTATGTATTCCTTCCAATAATGAGCTTAAGCAGATGATACTTGAAGAGGCTCATAAAAGCAGAATGAGTTTTCATCCTGGTGCAACAAAAATGTATCAAGACCTTCGTAAGAATTTTTGGTGGAAAAGAATGAAGAAGGATGTGGCTGAGTATGTAGAAAAGTGTTTAACTTGTCAAAAGGCGAAGGTAGAACATCAACGTTCACCTGGGATGTTGCAGCCATTAGAAATTCCTGAGTGGAAGTGGGATAATATTTCTATGGATTTTGTGTCTGGTTTGCTAAGAACCAAGAGTAATCATGATGCAATTTGGGTGATAGTAGATAGATTGACTAAAGCAGCTCATTTTCTTTGCATTAATATGAAGTATAAGTTGGAGAAGCTAGCAGATATATATGTGAGAGAGATAGTCAGATTGCATGGAGTACCAACCAGTGTTGTGTCAGATAGAGATCCAAGGTTTACATCGAGATTTTGGGAGAGTCTGCAGAAAGCTTTGGGTACTAAGTTAAAACTTAGTTCAGCTTATCATCCACAAACTGATGGTCAGACTGAAAGAACAATACAGTCCTTAGAGGATTTGTTGAGAGCTTGTGTGATGGAACAACAAGGAACTTGGGAGGAATGTCTACCTTTGGTGGAATTCACGTATAATAACAGTTATCATGCAAGCATTGGGATGGCTCCATTTGAGGCTCTGTATGGAAGGAAGTGTAGAACACCTTTGTGTTGGTATGAAACTAGAGAGGCAATCCTATATGCGCCAGATATGGTTCAGAAGCAACATGAGCAAATCAAATTGATCAGAGAAAAGATGAAAATAGCACAAGATAGGCAAAGGAGTTACTATGATAAGAGGAGAAAACCTTTGGAGTTTCAAGTAAATGATCATGTGGTTTTAAAAGTTTCACCTGTAACTGGAGTTGGAAGAGCTCTAAAATCCAAGAAGTTATCTCCTAAGTTTATTGGGCCATTTGAAGTGCTAAGTAAAGTTGGTCCTGTTTCTTATGAGATTGCTTTGCCTCCAAATCTCTCAAACTTGCATCCTGTATTTCATGTATCTCAGCTTAGAAAGTATATTCCTGACCCTACTCATGTGATAGAACTTGATCCTGTTCAAGTGAGAGAGAATTTGTCATATGATGTACAACCGGTGAAAATTGTTGATCACCGTTTTAAGAAATTAAGGGGTAAGGACATTTCACTAGTTAAAGTAATATGGAATACTAGTGATGAGGGAGATGCCACGTGGGAAACTGAGAATAAGATAAGAGAATTATATCCTGATCTTTTTGTAACTTAGCGAATTTCGGGGACGAAATTCCTTAAAGGAGGGGAGAATTGTAACATCCTATGCTTTGTGTCATGCCTGTAGTATATTAATGAGAAAAATCTGTAGTACTTTGTGAGCAGAAAGAAACTGTGTATGTACAGTAACCCCTAATGTCAATAAGTGACATAACGCTGATGTCATCGGTGACATCATCGCTTACATCATCGCTTATGTCATTGGTGATCTCACGCTGACATCATCGCTTACATCATCAGTGACATCATGCTGATATCATCGCTTGCATCATGCTGACATCATCGCTTACATCACATTGACGCTGACATCTTCAAAAAAATTTCTATAAATAGGGGGGCTTCACATGAAATTTTCATTCCCACCCAAGGTTCTCGAAGGTTCTAAGGTCATATCTCGGCATTTTCTCCTATACTAAACCTCCTAAACTTAGATTTCTCTTCAGATCTGTGATTCTACGTCCGTTCTAAAGGATTTCAAGAAAACCTCTGTTCTAGAGTTAAATCTTCGGTTAAATCCTTGTAAAAGCTCTGTTTTGAGGTAAGGGGGGCTCTACTTTATCAATTTGTTATGTTTATTACTTGTATTCTCATAGATCTTGTCATGTATGTGATTATATGGGAAATAATCCCTGTTTTATGAGAAATAATCGGTGAAAAGTGAGAATAATTAGTTGTTTATGTGATTTTATGATGAGTACATGGTGAAATTGGGATATTATGTTCAAATAGGGCATGATAAGGTATATTGAGGATGGTTGATATGATTTTATAATTTTGTGATATAAAATATACGAAGAGATGGATGTTTCATGTTTGAATATATTGTGTTTTATGTAAAAATGATGTGTATCGTGAATATGCCATGGTTTGATGTATACGATGAAAAGTATGTGGAAATATAATGAAAAATATGTGTAAACATGATAAATGACATATGTGAACATGTGAATATGCTCAAAAGAGTATGAGATGGAAAAAAATATGATATAAATAGTTACAGAGATACACTGGGGAAGTGGAAGATGGAGACGATATGGGATATCTTGGGGAAATGCAGGGTGGTGAGTGAATTTCGGGATTGTGCACGGAATATTGTGTTCGAATGCACAACATGGCCACACACTCATTTCTCGACTTGACTCCTGACCATTACCTTTGCTAAGGGACCGTCTATTGCATGCGTTGTATCCGTATTGCATTGGGCCATCCGGCGACTATTTACATGGATGTGTAAGACCTCGGGATAGAGGCATCGGATAACTGTGGCCACAGGGCGCGGTAAGCGCAGATAAAAGTAAAAGAAATTGTGAATCTGTAATACACGTTGAGATGAGAATATGCTTTATATGACCCTGTGATATGTAATGCCATGATATTTTCTTTAATCGTGATAAGATGTGTTTTGTGAAGAATGTTTGTGTTATGTATAAGTGGTAGGGTAGAGACTCACCCTTACACAATATTTTTCAGGAAACTAGGACGAATAGTACCAGGCTCACAGTGCATGGATGGATGAGAACTGCTATAGGACTTAGTTATTTTGAGTTATGTAATGAATATTTTCAGTTCTATAGCATTCTTTTGAAACAGTTGTAAAACTACTATTCTTTTTATTGCTGATGAAAATTCTAGAATCTTTATTTTTCTAAAGTACTTATAAATTAATAAAATTTTAAT